ATTGGTAGAAAATGTCCTGGCATCAGTGATTGGTGGAATATGTCATGGTATCAGGGACTGGTGGAAAGGCATCAGGTATTGGTAGAAAATGTCCTGGTATCAGGTATTGGTAGAAAATGTCCTGGCATCAGGTATTGGTAGAAAATGTCCTGGCATCAGGTATTGGTAGAAAATATCATGGTATCAGGGATTGGTGGAAAGGCATCAGTGATTGGTAGAAAATGTTCTGGCATCAGGGATTGGTGGAAAATGTCTTGGCATCAGGGATTGGTAGAAAATGTCCTGGCATCAGTGATTGATGGTAAATGTCATGGTATCAGGGATTAGTGGAAAATGCCCTGACATCAGGTAATGGTGGAAAATGTCCTGTATTTGTGACTGGTGGAAAATGTCCTGGCATCAGGGATTGGTGGAAAATGTCCTGGCTTCAGTGATTACTGAAAAATGTCCTGGCATCAGTGATTGGTGGAAAATGTCGTAGTATCAGGGATTGGTGGAAAATGTCCTGGCATCAGTGATTGGTGGAATATGTCCTGGCATTTATGATTGGTGGAAAATGTTCTGGCATCAGGTATTGGTAGAAAATGTCCTGTGATCAGGGATTGGTGAAAAATGTCCTGGCATCAGTGATTGGTGGAAAATGTCCTGGCATCAGTGATTGGTGGAAAATGTCGTAGTATCAGGGATTGGTGGAAAATGTCCTGGCATCAGTGATTGGTAGAAAATGTCGTAGTATCAGGGATTCATGGAAAATGTTCTGGCATCAAGGATTGGTGAAAAATATCCTGGTATCAGGGATTGGTGGAAAATGTCCTGGTTTCAGTGATTAATGAAAAATGTCCTGGCATCAGTGATTGGTGGAAAATGTCGTAGTATCAGGGATTGGTGGAAAATGTCCTGGCATCAGTGATTGGTGGAATATGTCCTGGCATTTATGATTGGTGGAAAATGTTCTGGCATCAGGTATTGGTAGAAAATGTCCTGTGATCAGGGATTGGTGAAAAATGTCCTGGCATCAGTGATTGGTGGAAAATGTCCTGGCATCAGTGATTGGTGGAAAATGTCGTAGTATCAGGGATTGGTGGAAAATGTCCTGGCATCAGTGATTGGTAGAACATGTCGTAGTATCAGGGATTCATGGAAAATGTTCTGGCATCAGGGATTGGTGAAAAATGTCCTGGTATCAGGGATTGGTGGAAAATGTCCTGGCATCAGTGATTGGTGGAAAATGTCCTGGTATCAGGGATTGGTGGCAAATGTCCTGGCATCAGTGATTGGTGGAAAATGTCCTGGTATCAGGGATTGGTGGAAAATGTTTTGGCATCTACTGATGAAAAACGTTCTTACATTGGAGATTGGTAAAAGAAATGTCGTGGCATCAGTGATTGGTAATTAATTGGCAACTGTTTAAATGTATCCTGGCATTGACAACTTGTACAACATTTATTTTGTGCATTCATTAGTCCCCATTCGGACGAAGTCCAAAAACGGGGACTTATAATTCGGTCTCCGTCCGTCTGTGCGTCCGTGCGTCCGTCCGTCCGGAGTCATATCTCAGAATCCCTTGGACCAATTCCGTTCATTCTTTACATGTGCCTAGTACTTTATGTGGGACATACAATGTATGCACATGCAGTGGTTTAGCGATTCAATTCAAAATGGCCGACTGGCAGCCATCTTGTTTTTTTGAAAATGTTGTATTTTGGACATGCTTTGTCAGTTTTCATTCAAACTTGGTACATAGATTATACATGTTAGGATACATGTTCATGACGATGTTATTTCGCAATTGGATCAAAGATGGTCGACTGGCAGGCATCTTGTTTTGTTTTTTTATGCGGTATCTAAGACGTTCTCTGTCAGTTTTCATTCAAATTTGGCACATACTTGTACTTTATACATGTTAGGATGCATGTCCATGACAATTTGTTTCAAAATCTGGTCAAGGATGGCTGATTGACAGCCATCTGACTTTTTGGCCTTACTACTATATTTCCACAATTTATGTACCATTTTCATTCGTATTTGGCACATACATCATACATATCAGTGTGTTTCTTAATCAGATCAAAGATGGCTGAATAACGGCTGTTTTTATTTTTGGCTATATTACTATGACACGAAACACGTGTTTTGATGTAAATAAACAATCTGTTGTATACGCCACTTGGAACTCAAGTTTCAAGGACACGCTCGCGACAACCCCTCCGCTTTAATATGACGAGCACAAAGAGAACTTTCAAAAATTTAACGGGGACTGTGTCATTTTCAATGACTTGTTCACTATAGTTTGTTCCGTATAATGAAGTCCTGTATCATAATAACACCACATTCCTATACATTGTATAATTACAGCCTTATTTGCTGAGGAAATTTCCGTGGTTACCAGCAGATTTTGTCCAGTACATGTTAGATATGTACGATCCTGAGTTTGTTGAAAACTTACTAGATGACATGGAGGAGATTTATCCTGTAAGTTCTAAATCTTTGTTTATGGTGTAGCGGCAATGAATTGCTCTCTGTACAAATACTGTATTCGCTCTATGAGAAATAACAATTATTGAATACCTCTGTCATTTGCATATTTAAATATGAGCAAATATAGTAGCATTATTTCTTCACTTATAAATTCAATATATTTTTAGCTCCGCTGTCGACTTTGTCGAGTGGAGCTTATCATATGAGTGATTGTCCATCATCATCTGTGTCAACTTTTTCGACTTCTTCTTGAAAAACAATTCTTATTGCCCTCATACTTGGTGTATATGTTCCTTGGGCAGACCTCTCTTGGATTTGTTCATTTCGTATGATATCTTCAATTCTCTAATTTTGATGAATATTTTTTTCTTTAGTCCCCGTTTCAGGCGCAACCTGAAAGGTGGACTATTAATTCTTATTTCAATTTTCCGTCTGTGACGTATCTAACATTTTCTCAGAAATTCTGCAGCAGATATTGATGAAACTTGGCAGGTTGATGAATAAGTCTCTGCTGAATATGGACATAATTTTTTTTTCCAGATCTAAAAATCCTTAGTGGGTCTTTTTCATCATTTTCATCCAAAATTACCTCTCTCAACAACACTGAGAGAACAACTGAGCATGCTCAGAATAAATAATTAGCTTAGATTGTAATGCTAGGGTTAATGCTAGATGTTATGACCTTGATCTGAATGAGTGACAGATGGGTCGTACCATTACCAATCTCAGTGGAAAATGTAGAGGTGTGTCAGGGCTACATTTTGATAGGAATTATAGTGGTGACAATGAAACAAACCCAGGTCCTGGTAATATACAAAGACCTGAATTAACAAAGGAGTCAAGTTGTTATTAAAGGTACATCAAGGTTTACTCATATTTATGAATGCAGTTTCTTGAGCATGTATGAGACATAGTTTGGTTGCACTCAGAGTACACAAGTACTCTGAGATTTTGGCCCTGGGTCAATGAAAGTTGTCAGTTCTCAAATTAAGGGAAATCACATATTAATTCAATTGCAGATGTTCCATGTATTATTTTAACATGAGTATTTTATAATTAAATAACGGGGACTGTGACACTCATGTCTTGTGTTTGATAAGAAGTGATATTCTCGATTTAGTTAAAAACCAATTATTTTGATATTATACATATAGGTGCCTCAGGTGGACTTCTCTTAGATTTGTTCATTTCGTGGTGATATCTTCAATTCTCTAATTGAAATGTTCTTTCAAACTACATGTATGTTGTTCCTGAATGACACTCTTTCCACATTAACATGTTTTCCATATACGTTGTGTTAAGCACTTTATTATCCTGTTTGACCATATATGCAATTTATTTACCATATATGGTCAAAGCAATTTCCTTTTATAGATTTTCCAGAGAGCGCAAAGTCAAAGTCAAGTGTTATTGTCATACAACCAGAGAAGCCATATCCAGTCCATAAAAAATATTAATTTAAATAAATGTTGTCATTTCATAAACAGATTATAAAAATAGATAATTTAACAAATTTTTAAATGTGGGGTTTTTTGGCTTCTGATATTTTGGGGTCACACAGTTAGACTTTTAAGAGAAGGGAGGATTACTGCATGGTCGAGCCAATGGATGCACTGCAAGTTAGGCAGTTTGTATTACTATGCTTAATACATGTAATACAAACTCCTACAATATGTGTGTGCATGTTCATCTGTTTATCACCATTAATAATCAAACCATCAGTTCTTGTGTTACTTGTTCTTTCTACATATTGCACTTTGTATCTTGTCTTCTTTAGTGGAACCGTCCTTTACTCTATAGCCAAGCTGTTTACTTAAAAGACTTAGTCTTTTTTCTTCGCACTGATGACACTCGTAAGGTAAAAACCTAACACACGTGCATCTCATCGATCTCGACTGCATAATTAACTTGTTCATTGTTTTCTTCTTTCCAATTTTCTTCATCTTGTTCTTTAATTTCTTCTGTGTATTGTCACTCTCCTTTCTGTGTATATAGCTAAGTTCACATTCATATTTACGCAATCATTTCTATATTTTCAAGAATATAGGTCTCCATCCCATATAATTTTTTGTATACTACTGTAAAATGACTAATTTTTACTAGGTTTAAATTTCGCTGATTTACCATTTCAGGCATATTCAGTGGGTTTTAAATTCATAGTTTTATCATTTAGATAATGTGTTCTATGCTAAATTTTACATATTCATTGGGTTTTAATTTAGCGCATTTTCCAGTCAGCGAAATAAGCAAAATTAAAACCCAGTGAATAATTAATCCTTTTACAGTACCCACCATCATTTTCATGCACTGTCTGTATCATACAATGTTCCAAGTATATATCTGGAACTTTTTATCATTATCATTTTGCTGTCATACCAATCATCCCTAAGTGATGGACAGAGTGGGAAGGAATAGGGTGTATCTCATTGCTAGGCTGTATTTTTGTCATGCAATTTATATATATGCATGTATTTTTTTGATGTAAATATATTGCTATTAACAAGGATTTATGTTATAAACAAGGGTATGCAACTGGTGTGATATCGGATGAAGATTCTATTGAAGTCCTGTGAATTGTGAAATGAGGCACGATATTGCAAGACAAAATTACAAATGAGTCTGTGAAAGAACTGTTTATCTGAGATTATTTTTTGTTAGTGTCCTTGCTTGCAAAATGGAATCTTGCTCATTTCTATTCAAACAGTTGAATATATTAAAGTGATTGATGCCATTGGGCGTAGATTTGATAGATGTGTGGGTTCTTCATCATGTATACTACCATATAAGCATGCTATTCTAATTTCTTGCTATAATGATAATATCTTGCCTATTCGCCTAAATCAATTCTTCATATATTACGCTAAATGATAAATGCAAAATGAAATGTGGGCAACAGTAATTATTATGAGTAATAAAATTGCCAAAAATTGTTTTAAAACGATAACAATATAAATGTCATTTGTAATTATATACCATGCATGCACTGTTAATAAAGAGAAAAAGCTGTGGGTTCAACAACGCTGTTTCATCTCAGTTTATGTTACTCTGTATTTTACGCTTTTTAAGCTTAATTGCAAATCGTCACAGTTGTTGCCGCAGATCATGTTCGATATGTGGGTTCCATGTGATGCATACAGCGCATGTAAAAACATTGTTAGTTTATTCAAATGTTGAATGATATGCATGGTGGCTTTTTAATAGACTGTGAACCATGACGTTTCTACTACTTACGAGTATATGACCTAAAGCAGGGGAGTTGTCACCTGTGCATGCGTCAGATGGCCATAGCGTGTCATTGTTTACAAACAAGTATCTACCCATGAGTCTTTGCGTTTTCAGCATGTGTTGTTATCGTCGCTTGGAACTCAATTCCCGCAGTGTGCGCAGGTGACAACCCTTCCGCTTTAAGAATGGATAAATAATAAATAATAAAACTGACATTAAAAAATTGTTAAAAGTGCTATAGTAAAGTTAATCAAATAAATGAAAAATAGCAAATAAAAATTAGGCTTGTTGTCATAGTGACAATGACTTTGTTAAATGACAATGTTAAACTCTATTCTGGCGATTAATTTGGGTAAAAAAATGGGCTGAAGTTCATAAAAGTTTTTATTCCTCAAATAAAACATTCAATTGCAATTTAACAAAGTTTAAGGATTCCTGTGTTAGCTATGACCATTCTTAATAAAAATTTGTAAGAATAAAATTTTCATTGTGATAAAAATTTTCCACAATTTGTCTCATGATATGATCGCAATTTACAGTCACACTGGATTCCATTTCCAATAAAGTACATCTAGAGGTAAATAAATGTGCTTTAGTTTCCCACAATGCAATGGGGTAATCCAGGTGTACAGTCTTCTTCTATGTTTGTGAACATTTGAACTACATTTTATTTTATTCAGCCGCCAGAACAGGTTATACCTGGTCCCGCCGGGTCACGAGGAAAGGTTGGACCGAGGGGACCAATGGGACCACCAGGAAAAAAAGGTGAAAAGGGACAAATGGGAATGATGGTAAGTTCAAGGTCACTATACAGTCATAGTGTTATAGGCAAAGGCACCCGACTGTTTATCAGGTTGTTGATACAATGGTGAAAGTATGCCAACTCTTTTTTTTTTTTGTATTTATAAACTTTTATTGGAGTTTGCACTAAAATTAACATCTTACATACTTGGTCTGTACATTACAAATTGCATTTAATCTACATATTGTGAAGTGGACTGGGATACATTTTTCATAAAATATCCCCATTTCTTATTATGAGAAGTCAACCTATTACGTCAAACAGCAATGAAGTACTCTATCTCCAGGAAATATTTTACATATCTTTTGTATGCCATGAATTCTGACTTTTGGTTTTTATGTCTACATGAGTAAATATAACTTTTTGCTACCGGAAAGAGGAAGTTGACTAAATATGTAAAATTTTCATCCCCAAGAAGGATTTGTTGTGCGTTTGGGAATGCCCTCAGGCCAAGCTTGCCCCCCTCCCCTCCCCCAAAGCATATACATGTACATTGTTTCCCATGCCAACTCTTATTAGATTGGTAAATTATTATCATTGCCATATAAAATGTGTAGACATTTATAGAAGAAGTTGGATGCCAACCTCAGTCCATCATTACTCATTACACAAAAATGAGAACACATTTGACATAATTGGAAAATTAAATTTAATATATTCTGACTACAATTATTAGATATATTTATCTTGATTCAATGTTTATTAGTTAAATCATGATTGTTGGCCTCAATTATGTTTAAATTTGTTTTTATGTTAAAATACAGTTAATAAATTGGTTGGTTGAATGTGTACATGTTATTTACTATATTCCTTATAAAAATTTCAGTGTTGCGTCGTCTATGCCGTAGAGCTTTTGCAGCCAGGCTGCGTAGTCCTTGCTGCACGAACACTTTTTCGCATGAAAATTAGCACTGCAGCATTACAATTAAGTTTTCAAAACTTGCTGTAAGGATGTTGCTACCACCAAACCACTGGTCCACTTTACACCATTACTATCTATTCCTACCTGTGCTTGAAATGGTACAAAACAATTTCCTCAAAAAAACATGTACTGTGATAATAAGAGTCAAACCAGTGTCAATTGAAGTTTGTGATTATTTTAGTCTAAGTCACGAAAATAGCTTATTTTATTGACATCCTTTCTGTTATGGTGTCCTCAGTGGTCTGTTAATGTTCTGGAACCATAAGGCCAGACTTTTATTATCCCTTGTTTCGCGAACCCGCCAATGAACAGGAGCCGAAAATGAAATAAAAATAAAATTTTATTTCAGCGTAATTTCTTGTAAGTGCAAAAAATTGCTAAAAAAACTTATTTTTATCTTTATTTTTTTTTCGCCCGCCGCATAACAAACCCAAGTTGCATTTTCATGGAAGTATCATGATCAAAGTACCGAGGTCTCGCGCAGATGAGAAACAAGATTATACATGGAATACAATTTTATTTAATTTCTTTTCTCCGATCAATGATCTCTCTTACAATTCTTTGAGAATCACACAAATCTAATGGGAAAAAAAGAATTAATTTTTTTTTTTTTTCGCCCTCCTCAAAAAAATTGCCTTATAAAAACTTGAGAAACAAGAAATAAAAAAGTCTAGCCTAAGCTTGTCATACTCTCCAGCTAACTAAAAGTCTTTACAAATTTTGTTACAAATTACGAACAATTTTGTTCCAGCATTTTATATAGAATAGAATAGAATAGAATAGAATAGAATAGAATAGAATAGATTTATTTCACCAGAAAAAAGAGACAATTGTACAGGGAACTTTATCTGAATGAATAATAATAATATATATATTATTCCTGGTGGGGACCAGAGAGGTAGTTCTAGCAGAACTAATCTAGTCCCTGGCCCCAAACATGAAACATGAAACATATAGGTGAAGCTGATAGAACCATTTATATATTCAATATATTTTGGTATTAGTGTACTTCATGGTTCTGGCAATAATGGGTAGTCTACCCATTTTCAAATGTCAGTCATTTATACTCACACATAAGTTTCAGTGTCTGTCTTGTCCCATTTGCCAGTCTCAAAAAGACTCCAAACCTCAGATCCGTAAAGTATCGGTAGGATTGGTTAATTGAATTAAGCCAAACGGTTTTGATTTGAGTTGGAAATTAAGGAATATTGCCAGTATGAATAGTTTGAAATTAAAAATTACTAATTTAAAAGTAAACTAATTATAATGTCTAGGGTTGTATAATCATACTTAATGGTAGTATTTTCAGATTTATGACCATTTTTTGTGAAGTCCATGATTTGGCTGCATTCACCTCTAACCCCCCCCCCCCTCCCCATCTTGGTGTCTTCATTTTAATTGGTTGAGGAAAACTGCAGTTCATCTTTGGATCTAGATGTAAACACTGTGCAACGCTCCACTCGTTGTACATGTATGAATGAATAAATAAATTTTGTTTTTCACCAGAAAAAACAAAAATATGTACATAAGATAATAATAATAATAATTATTTTCAAGTTTTTACCTGGTGTGGAACGCAGATATAGTTTGCTTAAAACAAGTAGAGTCTGAGCCCCAATCCTAATACAATGAATCCAGTAAAAGTATTTAGTAGAGGGTCGTAAACTTAATAATTACAATTGTTTGAAAAATATAAAAAGTAACAAACACATCTTTTCACTTATGATATAGCATATGTGATGTTTGTATAAATTTGAATAGGTAATGAGAAATTACTTGTTAGAAAATTTTGAGCAAATAATGAAAAAAAAATGCTGCACCAGAATTTTAGTGAGAACAAAATTATGTAATTATAATCTATTTACAGGGATCACAAGGACCAGTCGGATTTCCCGGACCACCTGGAGTGGATGGACAAAAGGGTCAGGAGGGTGCAGTTGGTGAACCTGGGTTCCAGGGTTTCCCAGGAAGAAAAGTAAGTCTCTGTGATTATTAATACGATATCGTGACATTAGTGTGTATAGGAAGATGTGTACGATTTTAGATTTCAAGTCCAGTTTTACTGTTCTGATTTTTGGTGGTGCTCATTTTGGGATGTAGAGTTTGTTCAAATGTAACTGAAATTAAGGTTGTTAAATCTGTGCCAACGAACTTGTACATCAATCATTATCTGTCATTAATGAAAGCTACATGTAAAGTCACACTTCATTTATAAGGTCAGTTAATTTGATGTTTCCTGGTATATTTATAATAAATATTGTCAATTTCTTTTTCTTTCTCTATGCTGTGTACATTAACACCAGTTATACATAGTTTATGAAGACATAATTATCACTTAGTTCAACAATAGTGATTTGAAACGTTAACGTTGTTGTCTATGTCAATTCGTGTGTAGTCGTATGTATAATCGTCATACACATGCTCATTGAAGTTCCATTTTTTGCTTTGAGGCAGTTTGGACTGAATTCAAATTGTGCACTACTGAGCATGTTACTGAGCATAAATGCAATGCATTATGGGAGAGGACCTTCCATTACATGTATATATAATGAAAAACTATTATCACATTGGAAACTAAATTAATTATAATTTTTATGTAAATTTTTTAAAATGTTTTTGCGATATTAGGATTTGAATCTATAATATGACTTTATATACACTTTGTCACCAAACAAAATTTTAAGATATGAAGAAATAACCCCACTATTGAAACCAGTGTAAAAATGTAATTTTGACCATTTTTTCGTCACATATAGGACTTTTGTATCAGAAAAAGTTCTCTGGCAATCCCAATTTTTGTTTTCATTTCTGGTATCTTGATTTTATGAACTTCTAATGATGAAAGTATAACAAACATGTATCCTTGCAAGTGGCTTGACTCGCTTTAATGTTGAAATGAATTACTGATACACTGAATTATTTGTATTATAACCAGGAATCAATATCTCATACTTGTGGTATGGTTGAAGAATTATAAGTATATTGTTTTATTATCTATCTAGGGGGAAAGAGGACCCAGAGGGCTAGACGGTCCCACAGGAGAGCAAGGTGAAGATGTGAGTAATTAGTGTTAAGTTTTTATTACTGTATTCGTACTGTAGAAATATGGTTTACATCACAACCAAGTCATTGGACGTGAGATCTCAGTATACTGATACTGTTTTAAATTAATAGGTTCCGTTGAATGCAGCCACTTTCAGAGGTCTTGTAATCTACATACGGATTGTAATTGATGACGTAATATATCATTGATGTTTCTAGTATTTTATGATCTTTTTGTAAACTGCAACCTGAATACTTAGAATCTTTGTAAAACCAGAGAACTAAAATTTCTGCATATAACTATATTATTGATGACTGAAATAGTCAAAATTGTCTTTGCTTATGTACTGTAATCAAAACTTGATGATCTGATAACATCGAAATACATGTACGTTTTAAATGTTATATTTCATCACCAAAAACAAAAGAATCTACCGCTCTATAAACATACTGTGGTTACGTTCGTTTCAAAGGATAGCTGTACCCCAATGTTACCATTTTTGATTTATGTCACGTTTCAACACTGATTTTGTTTACATCGGACACAGGAGTATGGTAGTGCATGACGAAAATATATAGTCAAGTCTTCTCTGTCGCACAACACAATAAGTGTGTGCCATTTATGCCTGTTATCGCTAGAATTTAGAGTCAGGTAAAAATTAGGGCCTTAAATATGTGCTCCAACAGTTGAAATTTTACTGTCCCCCCAATTGTTGGTATTTCCATGTGTTAACAAAAATGTAGATTTTAAAAGACGGTGGTTGTCGTGCCACACATTCATGAGAATAAGTCTCATATAAACAAAGATGTCGACTTTGACTGTTGTGCACGGCATACCAACAATAGACCATTTTCCGTTCACTGCGAGAATCACGCGTTATGCGTGAAATCGAACGTAAAAACAGGACAAACAAAGGTTATAGCGTCGTAGTCGCGTCAAACATCGCGTGGGATTCAACAAACGCAAAAGTATTTTGGGGACATTTCCATGCTAAATAATGTGCTGTTCACATTTGATGATAGGCAATTTCGATTAAGTGAGGGTATTCGGAAGCAATATTCCTCTGTCGAAGATCGGCCGGTTGATGTGAGCTACGAAATAAAGAAATTCGAGTTGAAAATCAAATCGTTCGATTTTTACAGCAGACGTTCGACGTGCGTCTTTCATGCATCTCGCGAGATCTCGCAGTTGTACGGAAAATCACCAATTACAAACTGAGAGGTTACTAAGTTTTAATTGCTATTTATTCGGTGATCGGAAGGTATCGATGCAGTCGCTGACAGTAGTTATAGCAAGTGGCGCCCAGTGCAAAATTCATAGTCGTTATTTCATTAGAAAAATGCATTGCATTGTGGAGAGAATCAATGTTGCACATGTGCAGCGTGACGACCGTCACCCTTTAATATAAATATTGATTTTAATTTTGTTGGTAGTGAAAATTACAGAACAATTATAAGCTTGGAAACACAAACAAATTATATAGTAATAAGCGATCATCCGTAATGCGATCTGGTCATGTTGTTTCTCAGGAGAATAAAAAAAAAAAACATTGATCCAAGGGTTGTATGATTAAACAAAATTAATCATAATATATAGATTACCGGTATGTAATTCTCATGAAAATAAGTATGAGCCCTGAATTTATAAACAATAAGAAAAAAATAAGTCTTGCGGTCCTTCTAGCGACAGTCTTTTATAAATTGTGATGCATTAATGTTCGCAATAAAATAATTTGATTATCTACTTGATGACAATAATACATGTATATTTCATGAAAAAAATCACTTTCTGTGAACTTTTCCATGCAACCAAATGTGATATGAGATTTATGACAACTTTATACAAAATATGTATCTTGCAAAATAGTAGAGATTAAAACATATTATTGTTTCACACAACAGGGTCCAGATGGATCACAAGGTAGGCGTGGAATTAGAGGACCTAAAGGACTCAAGGTAAATGAAATTATTATTATAAATTGGTTCAGCACATTTTGTGCGACTTTGTAAACTGGTTTCAATTATTTTTTACTGTGGCATAGTGATGCCGTACTTACATTGGATACCTTGAAAATGGGTATCCAGTGTATGTAAGTCTTGAATTACCTTTTGTCGTGGTAACTAATTGGAAACGAATTCATTTTCTCTCTCCTATGTTACGAAGTATTAGTTTATCCGGCAGAAAGTAAACAATTCTTATTTTATTCCTATAATTTATCCGGGTAAGCGCCCAGGGTTCTGAACATGGAAAATTAAGAAGAAATAAGGGTGGGCCTATGCCCAGCCATCGCTTGCAAAAGATTTACAACACGCGGGTCGAACTGCGACAGGAAATAAATAGAATGGCAAATGAAAAGATGCAACAGAGTTTTCACACACAATTTGGATTTCGCTGTCTGTCAACTTGGCACTTTTAATTCATGTCTAATTACAATAAAGAAAAATGGGATTGCTCTGCTACGATGGCTCATGATGCTTTGTTTACAGTATGTCAATCATCTTTGACCTTTATGCATCTGCTTTACTGATTGGCTAAGAATGACATCACCACTAGTATTTCATTATAGAGGTCAAGTCAACATCGCTTTCTTATCAGACTCGACGCTTATTAATCACGGTGAAAGTTATCATTACCAAGTTCCGGCAATAGGAATGTCTCACTATATGGATATTGCAGTGGGCTTGAAATAGGAAGATTTTTTTATCCAACGACAGAAGGATAATTTTCATGACAGAAATACAATAGTGATGATGAAAGATGGTAAAAAAGTTGGCATCTTTGGCATGACATTGCAAAGTGATTTCAACCACTCTCTCGGAGTAAGTTGCTACAATATGGTAACTTGGTTTCATTGTCAATGACGCGAAAGCCGAACTAGTGCGACACTAAGATTTGCTTGGATCATTTCTAAAGAAGCACAAACCAAACAGCCCTTCTCAGCATGGCCACGGCATATGTCAAAAAGAGAACTACCATTTCTGCTATAATATACATTTTTGTAGACATTTGCTGACTGTTATGATTCTGATAAAAAAATCTTGAAAAATATAATAATGTAAATTACGTGGTTAACCCACTGCCCTGAAGGCAAAACACAAAATTACCTGTTTTGCTGTCACACCTATTTCACTTTCACCCCTTGTTTTATGCAATTGACAATTATTTTTCAAGAATTTTAAAATCACAACAGTTGACTGTTGATACAACAAACAAAAAGTAGGTTTTTTTAATTCTTTTTATTACAAGTGTAGAAAAAGACCCCCTGCGCATATACCGGGACATGACCCCAATTTCTTTATTGTATCAGTATTGGGGGTGGACGTTTGTTCAGGCATGGGCTCTTACCCGGATAAATACGGTATTTGGGATGAGTTGCAATCTCTGACATCAAAATGAGTAATGATGCATAACAAAATAAAATCAATTTTGTAAATAGATTTTTTATGTCACAGATGTAAGAATCACTAAATGGAGTGATTGATATTAAATCATTGTCCTAACTTTTTTTGATCTAGGGCTTCAAAGGGGAAATTGGTGTGGAAGGAGATCCCAGTATCCCTGGTGTACGAGGAAAGCCAGGATTTGAGGGCAATATTGGAGAAATGGGAAAGGAGGTATGTCGTTATAGTATTACTGTCATGATGAAATGATATGAAAAAAAGCAACATATCATGTAGATTGTGTTTGTTACCATAGAAACAGATTTAATACTTTTTGATGAACTTAACCCATTTTCTGTATTATATAAATTGGAAAGACTACAAGATTTAATAAGTCATACTTTCATCACTACTTTACTTGCATTGATGTTCATTTTAGGGTGAAAAGGGTCTGATGGGAAGAGTTGGTGAGCTGGGAATGCAGGTAAGAATTAACAAACAATCATATTCTGTAATATTTTATAACAGAACACCATTTTCCAACTTAGACTTTTTAAAATTGCTTGATGTATAAACAATTTCTATTTCTTGAACAACTCTGTAAACAAAACAATTCGCTGATCATGCAGTCTTTGTGTTTGGTTATCTCAAATTGGTGTTCAGTTCAGACAGGGTTCATTGGTGTTCAGTTTAGACAGTTTTCATTAGTGCTCAGTTTAGTCAGGTTTCATTGGTGTTAACTTCAGACACGTTTCATTGGTGTTAACTTCAGACAGGTTTCATTGGTGTTCAGTTTAGACAGTTTTCATTAGTGCTCAGTTCAGACAGGTTTCATTTGTGTTCAGTTTAGACAGTTTTCATTAGTGCTCAGTTTAGACAGGTTTCATTGGTATTCAGGTTAATAAACAGGTTTCATTGGTGTTAACTTCAGACAGGTTTCATTGGTGTTAACTTCAGACAGGTTTCATTGGTATTCAGTTTAGACAGGTTTCATTGGTGTTCAGTTTAGTCAGGTTTCATTGGTGTTCAGTTTAGTCAGGTTTCATTGGTGTTAACTTCAGACACGTTTCATTGGTGTTAACTTCAGACAGGTTTCATTGGTGTTCAGTTTAGACAGTTTTCATTAGTGCTCAGTTCAGACAGGTTTCATTAGTGTTCAGTTTAGTCAGGTTTCATTGGTGTTAACTTCAGACACGTTTCATTGGTGTTAACTTCAGACAGGTTTCATTGGTGTTCAGTTTAGACAGTTTTCATTAGTGCTCAGTTCAGACAGGTTTCATTTGTGTTCAGTTTAGACAGTTTTCATTAGTGCTCAGTTTAGACAGGTTTCATTGGTATTCAGGTTAATAAACAGGTTTCATTGGTGTTAACTTCAGACAGGTTTCATTGGTGTTAACTTCAGACAGGTTTCATTGGTATTCAGTTTAGACAGGTTTCATTGGTGTTCAGTTTAGTCAGGTTTCATTGGTGTTCAGTTTAGTCAGGTTTCATTGGTGTTAACTTCAGACACGTTTCATTGGTGTTAACTTCAGACAGGTTTCATTGGTGTTCAGTTTAGACAGTTTTCATTAGTGCTCAGTTCAGACAGGTTTCATTTGTGTTCAGTTTAGACAGTTTTCATTAGTGCTCAGTTTAGACAGGTTTCATTGGTATTCAGGTTAATAAACAGGTTTCATTGGTGTTAACTTCAGACAGGTTTCATTGGTGTTAA